GGGATGGCCGGCAGAGAGGAGGAGACGGTGGAAGCCCTCAGGTGAGGGTGAGACTCAAAAGCCACCTGCAAAGCAAAGGGAACCTGGTCCACAAAGCGGCGTGGTGGGAAGGGGCCGCAGGAGTTGGGCCTACAGACAAGCAGTATCCGGCCACCCTGCACTAAGACTGGCTTAGAACAACCTCTCTGGCTATCACTGCAGCCTGTTTCCTCCAAGAATATACGGGAGGGGGCAGCGGCTGACACCAGGGGCCACAATCCTCATGGCTGAGACCTGCTCCTGCTGATGACGTCAGCAAAACTCTGATGGGACCAGGGCTTGGCGGCAAAGGGCACTGCCCCGGCCGTGATCCAATGGGGGAAGATCTTCAAAGAGCCATCACACACACAGACACACACACCCTCCCTCCCATTGGGAGCCGGGCACCTAATTGGAAAGGTGCCCAGTGCCGGCTGGGGGAGGTGCTAGGGTGTGAGAGGGCGGGGAAAATGTGTGTATTGGGGCACTAGGGAGTGGGGGTTGCTGGGCAGTAGTGGTGGGGCTGTGGGCAGGGGGGCGCTGGGCAGGGGTGGTGGTGCGCTGTGCATTTGTGCGGGGGTTGGAGGGGTGCTGGCCATAGTGGATCCAGGGGGGCTCTGGCCACTGGGAGTCGGGGGGAGGTGTTGGGTGAGGGGGCCGTGTGGCATGGCATGGGCCTGCCCCCGAGGGCAAGGGGCACGCTGGCAGCACAGGGCCGGGTGGGCCACTATGTGTCTGGCAACTGCCGGTTTGTAACTAGTGCCCTCGCACTGGGCAGAGCGGGGCCGCCCAGCCATGTCCCGCCCCATTGCCCCTGCCCGGCCCCTCGCTTTGGGGACAGACCTCCTCGTGCCATGCTCCATTGCCTCCATGGGGGCCCCCAGATATGTTTGACCACAAAAGGTTAATCCGGCCCTGAAGGTGCCCCACTGTATTTGGCTGGCCCCTGTTGAGGTCACCACTGCTACTCTCTATCCCCCGCACACACATGGGATTTTGTGGTGGGGGGGGAGAGAAGGGCCTTTGCAGGAGGCGGCGGGAGCTGAGCTGGCCTCTGCCCCGGCCTGTCCGCGACTCACCAGAGGGGACCGTCCGTACATCACCGTCCCGCTGACTTGCGGAGAGAGGTGGATGCTCACGTAGGTGCTGGGGGCAGCGAGCTCGCCGTTGATGGTGGCGTGGGGCACCATCCCGAATGAAGACGCGTAGGTGCTGGGCACGCTCAGGGGGCTGCGCAGAGCTGGGGGTTCGAGAGAAGAGACGCAGCCACTGAGCAGCACCCCCGGGTGCTGGTTACCTGCATTATGGCAGCGTCACGCCCCAGGGTGGCTCATGGCCAGCGGGGATTGAACCGGGGACCAGTGGATCTAACTGCCTGAGTGCCAAGAGCCAGCTCTGCTAGCCAAGGCTGGAAGCCAGGAACTTGTGAGTAGTTAATATTTGTACCACAGTAGCACCATGAAGCCTCAGCTGAGATCAGATCAGCTGCTGCTTCAAGGCAGACAAAGGGGAAACTGAGGCACAAAGAGGCGACGGGACTTCCCCTGGGTGACTTGGGGCATCAGCGGCAGAGCCAGGAATAGAACCCAGGTCTCCTAAGTCCCAACCCAGCGGCACTAGTCATGCTGCCTTTCAAACTCTTGATGCAGAGGCTCTGAAATCCCTTTAAACTGGGCTCATACTGAATGAAGCTAAATCAACGCAAGTGAGTTCTAAGCTGATCCTGGTGCATTTATCTCAGAAGTTCTCCTGGTTTATCAAGATCCATTTCCATCCCCTCATCGGAGTCATTTTCTAGCACAGAAAAGGGCTTCATTTCTCAAATTCTTGCTCTATTTCCACTTCGAAAACTGCCAGTCTTGATCAAACCTTTTCCCCTCCACTACCCAGCTTTCAGCCGGGACGCATTTCTATTAGCCGAAAGCTCCATGACGCTCTACGGCTCCTCTCACGGGAGGATTGCAAAGCGCTCTCCAAACACCAGTTCACAGCAACCCCTCTGACGTCAGTAATGCTCCTGGTTTACAGATGGGGAAACTGAGGCACCAAGCGGCAAAGTAACTTGCCCAGCATCCCCCAGAGAGGCAGAGCTGGTCCAAGGCACCTCTGCAGGCCTGTCCCTTTAACATTGAGGCACACCCCTAAGGGCTTTCAAGTGATCCCCACTTATACAGCTAGATCTTCAGGGCAGGGACCACGTCTCTTGCTGTCTGTGGAGCACCCAGAACCACGGGGCCCTGATCTCAGTCGGGGCCTCTAGGCGTGACTGTGAAACAAACCACAAACAACAGTGCAGGGCCAATCCTGCACCGCTTACTCAAGGGAGTAATACCTCAATGGTGCGGCTTCTTCTGGCTACCGGCCAACCTATCTCCAAAGGGATATTGCAGACCTGGGGGGGGCCCAGAGCCACCAATGATGGAGGACCTGGAAAAACTCTCCTAGGAAGAGAGACTGAACGGACTGGGAGCATCACCTGCGAGAGGAGACGAACAGGGGGCAGAGGATAGAGTCTCGAAAATACTGAATGGTCCAGAGAAGGGAGATCGGGAGCTTCTGTTCTGTCTCCTAGCACAAGACCAAGAGTGTCCAGTGTAAGATCTTGCTTGTTTTCCGTCTGCTTCCGTCTCTCTTTCCTGGTTCCTAAAATCACAATGTAGCCGCAGCGGCTCAGTCTAGCCACCTAGTACGTTCCGAGGAACGCTGACGGGGTTTCACTCGGGCAGCTAGCCCGAGCCACTCCGGCTACCTCGTTATTTTAGGCGCTCGCTCAAGCAGAGCTAGCACATGTACATCGAACCCAGGCCGGGACTGACACCTTTCAGCTGCAGTGTAGGGTACACACACACCCGGCACCCACAGAAAAATCCAGCATTGGGCCCTGGTCTCTGGGAGTGGCCAGTATCTGATGCGTCAGAAGGAGATGAAAACTCTCCAAAGGCATCTGGGCTACAGAGCAATATGCACCTTGGTGGGGAGGAAAATACATTAGGATCAACTAATTGTGTCAAAATAACCCGCGGCCCCCAGTACCAGGGACCCTTTGTAACTAGGCACCGTGTAGACACATCGAAAGAGACGAAAAGCCGACGACCTCTTTTGCACAGATGGAGTATTGAGGCACAGAGAGAGTAAAGCCTAGATCCTCAAAAGGTATTTAGACACCTGAATCAATGGGAGTTAGGTACCTTTGAGGATCTGGGCCTAAATGACTGGCTCAGGGCCACCCAGGGAGTCTGTGGCAGAGCCGGGAACTGAATCCAGATCTCCTGAGTCCCTGTCCAGTCAGCGCCGTACCCACAAGATCATCCTTCCTCTGCCAGTTCCTTCCTGACCCCTTCAGCCAATGTCTTGAAGCATGCGCTTTGATCACCCTTGTTTTCACACGAATAGCCAGAAATATTATGAGTCAGAAACAATGCAGAACCCTTTCCAAAAGCCAGACACAGTATTCGTCACTCTGAATTCCTGCAGCAGTGAGTTCCACAGGTTGACACAAACCATACTATGGACCCACACCTGAGAAGCAAGGAGGGCCTTGCATTGCACAGCAGGCTCTCAGCACCTTAACGCATTGGACCTGTTCGTGTAATTGACCCACACGCCATATTACCACAGCAGAAGCGCTTCCATAAAATTGGCTGTGATATGAGTGGAAATCCACCACTGACCCAGAGCCCTGTGGTAACTGCACCAGCTGCCATGCACCCCTGCACACACACATGCTGTGTTACAAGGCCAGGCAGTTTCTCAGAAGGATGCGGATGCCTTAGAGAGACTCACTGATGGTGTCCGTGGCAGGCGGCTTAGAGGAGAGTTGCCGGAGATGGGAGGCCGAGCTTGGCCCGGGGCCGGGCGTTAGGGAGTCCCGTGGAGGAGAGGAGCTGGAGGACTTGGAGGTGGGAGTGTTGGCTGAGACATCGTTCTGCAATGGAAAGGAGATGTTGCCCTGCTCTGCTCTAGAGCCTTCCAGCCAAGGCCCCCCAGAGCACTACCTGTCCAGTCATGAAACCTCACACACCCCAATGGGGAAACTGAGGCACAGGACAGCGACTTAATTTACCCAAAGTCACAGAGAGATTCCATGGCCGGGTTTGGTATAGAACCTAGGAGTCCTGGCTCCCAGCCCCTCTTGCTGCTTCAACCACTGGGACTGGACCCCACCCCTTTCCAGAGCTGGGAAGACAGCACAGGAGTCGTGACTTGCAGCCCCCTGCTCTGACCCCCTAGAGAACACCCCCTTCCAGTTAATACTTGCACAGAGAGTCTGCAGCCCCCGCCACAGGACTGTGTGCACCAGCCCCTTTGCAGGATCCGGCCCATCGACCAGCCGCCCCACCCTGCCCGCTGTTTCACTGAAGGGGTGTCCAATAAACCCTGGTGCATTTTTGCTCTCCTTGGGATTCTGTGGAGACCGGTAGAAATCCAAGCGGAGCCCGCAAATCTCACATCACTTAGGGCATTTCGCCTGCTCTAATCAGATTGTCCCGGGGAGAAACACCAGCAACCCTAATGAAGGCTCCCAAACCCCTGCAGCCGACAGATTGCTCCCAATGAATCTGGTAAGTGCCTCACGCTCCTCCACTCGATGGCTGGGCTGGGAATGACAGCGCAATCAATACCCTCCCTCCCGCTGATGTTTCAATCTGAGAATCAGGTTGATGCTGGGCAAATCGATAGATTGCACAGCGCGCGGAGGAGCCCAGGGGAATTCTGCAGGCAGCCGGATGGAAAATACCTGCAAAGCCAGGCTCCAGTTACCAGCGTATTAACCTCCCTTCCAAAGGCACTCGCCCCTTGCCAGGCAGCGCGGGAGACCCGCTAGCGATAGCGGTGATTCGTTATTAATTAATTAATCAGCACGCCAAGGATCTCCAAGCGCCTGATGCACACTCATTAATTAGGGCCTCCTCATGCTCCCACGGCGCGTTAGACACGCTGCACAGATGGGATGAGGCAAGGCCCGGGGCGGGGAACTGACTGGCCCAAGGACGTGCAGCGAGTCAGTACAGAGCTGGGAACAGAACCCAGGTGTCCTGGCTCCCAGAGCCCACCCTGCTGCAACCACTAGGCAAGGCTGCCTGCTGATAGCACAGCAAAGCCCACACACTGCCTGCGCCCCAAACCGTTCTGTCTCGCTCGGCTGCGGTTAACCCTTAGAGCGCCGGAGAACCTCCAGGGGACACAGACTCTGGGTTTGATCCAGCGTAGTGTGGCCTGGAGGGTTAACCCTTTGGGGACCAGGTTGTTTCCTAGGCTTCCGGCTGGCCCTCAGTGCTGGAGAAGATGGGAGAGATCCTGGCAGAAGAGGATTGTTAGGAGGAGAAACCCCTGGTCTGTTGTGCCCCCCCCCCCAGCTCCCACTGCCACCTCTCCACCTGGCACAATCCCTCTTACCCCATTGCCAGTCTATGACCCCTCCAGGGCTTGGAACCAGCAGTGGGGGACGTGGGTTGCATCAGGATAGGAGGCAGTGCAATGCAATTCTTCCCCTCTGGAGGTGGCAGGTGTCTGGCAGGGACGGGGGAGCCAGGGGAAGAGGTGGGGTGGGCAGGGAGCAATAGGATGGCAGGGAGAGGGAGTGGCGAGAAGCTCTCTCTCGTTAAGTGCTTGAGGGGTTAAGGACCAGACGGGAAGCCCAAGCAATTGCGTGTGATGGGGGAAGGAGCATGGGAGGGGATTGCGGGGGGCAGCATCCCCTTTCCCCAATCCAGAGCTCCAGCAGGGGCAGCCCCCGGTGCATCCTCCAGGCTGGACTGCCTGCGACATGCCCTCTAAGCAGGGACAGAGAATCCCAGATCCACTCCCCTCCCCTCCCCATGTGCTGCAGCAGGGAGAGACACCCTGGGGCAGTGCCCTGGGATACAGAGGTAGGTGCCGACACCCCCACCCCCACCCCAATCCCACGGCCTCTCTCCAGCTTGCCAGCCCATCTCTTTACCAGGCTCTGGTCCTTCAGTTTGAGGGGCGTTGTGCTCCGGCTGGAGGCCAGGGAGGCTGGGCTTTCGGGCATGTCCCTGCGGGCGGGCGGGAGCTTCGTGCTGGGTGCATGGGCAGGGCTGCTGGGCTCAGAGGGCGGGTCCTGCAGCGGGGAAGAGAAAAGCAGACAGAGCCTTCAGACCCTGGTGCCCTGGGGTTAATCCGCTGAGCTGAATGGAGACGCTCCAGAGTCACACAGGTGGTGGAGCAGGATCCAGACCTGCTTTTGCAGATGTAGCCTAGGAGGATATGAGAAAATTGCCTCTGCTTTTGAATGCACTGGGAATTTTGCAAGCCATATTAATTCTCTCTCTCTCTCTCTCTTTTAATGCTTTGGGTGGTTTCCAATTGGCTGCAACAGGCAGCTGGGTAGCGACTGGGAAGAACTGGGGGACACCCGCCGATTTGCTACAATATAATAACCCAGACAGACAAAACGACTGTTTGCAAATCAGTCGAGTCTCCACTCAGGGACAGGCGCCTCCAGCTTGCCAACCCACGGACCTGGCTGCCCAGGGAGATTTTTTCTTTTCAAATAACAGCCCTGGGGTTCTTTCTATTTGCCTTTCTGAGGTCACACTTCCCAGCTCCTCTCCACGGTCAGGAAGGCTAGAAACTGACTTGTTTTTTTTAAAAAGAAAACTGAGATTCTGATACAGTCACGTGACTTCCAGAACTGGGGCTTCCCAAAAACCACCAAATATCACGCGACTTGTGATAAAACCACCAGAGGTGGCAATTCTGTCTAACAGAATCACCTTCAGTTACCATCTTAGACCTGGTCTAGACACAGATTTCAGACCAGGATCATTATTCCGGTTCGGGGAGAGACGTTTCCAGATATGGTTTTATCAGTACAGCTGCTAGAGGTGTCTTATCCCAGCATAATTCATTCCCCTTTCTGCGCAGCTTTTACCGTCGCACGGAGAGAACTGCCTCCATCCTAGGTTGCAGCGGTAACAGTACAGCTAAAGTAATATGAATTGTGTGTCTAGACAAGGCCTTAAGAGATCTAATTAAAAACTTCTCACTCACCTCATCCACTACTAGGTTATAATCACTCTTGTCCCCGTCGCTGTCCTGCCGAGGGGAGAAACAGAGCCAGGAACAATTAAAACAGCAAAATACCGACACAGGGCAGATCTTCGAGGCAGTGCTGCCTAGTGGCTCAAGCACTGGATTGTGACTCAGAAGACCTGAGGTCTATTCCTAGCTCTGCCACTGGCCTGCTGGATGGGAGAGTTACGTCGCCTCTTTGTGCCTCAGTTTGCCCATCTGGAAAATGGGCAGAATGATACTGATGTCCTTTGTAAAGTGTTTTAAACTAACGGCTGGAAAACACTAGATAAACCCTAAGGATTATTATCATCTCTCCACTCTGTTGGCTTGTCTCCCTGACCCAAAGCCCAAGGAAGTGACTTCAATGGGCTTTGGATCAGACCCCACACAAGCAAAGGCTGCGTCAGACAGAGCAGAGACCCAGAAACTCCTTGGATTTAAGGGCTCCCTGGGGAATTCTTTTTTAAGGTATTTTCTCAAATATTTTTCTGCAGCACTTTAAAGCTAGTAAGCAATGTTGAAAGGTCCCTTTTAGTTAAAAAGCCTCTTCAGAGTTGCCATTTCCTATCTCCATAGGGTCCAGACCGAATTTTCTTTTTTAAAGTCATCATCATCATCATCCCCCAGATTTCGCCCCCAAATCTCCTGCAGAATCCGGAAGAAAAATCCCACAGCATCCGGGCAACATTAAAAACAACAGGCTGGGCGGGTGTAGAATTGTTAGTAGTATTGGAACAGAGCCGAACGCTCTCAACTGAGATCAGGGCTCCAATGCGCTAGGTGCTGTACATACAACTAAGGAGAGACAGCAAGATTGCAGTCTAACTAGACACGAGAGAAAAAGGTCAGAGGGGGAAACTGAGGCACGGGGAAGGGATGTGACTTATTCACGTTCACCCAGCAGGTCAGTGGCAGAGCTGGGAAAAGAATGCTGGTCTGCTGAGTCCCAATCCAGTGAACACGCCACCTGCCTACATGACCCCTAATGAGAGAGGCTGGAGCAGACCCCCTGTGGGGTTCTGTTCTGGACACCGCCCAAGGCCCCCTGCCTTGCCTCCAAAGGCTCGATAAGGGACGAGAGCTCCCCCAGGGTGCAGGTCACCCCAGCAGAGAATCTGGCTCATTGACTTAAATGGCGTTGAAGCCAATTTACACCCTGAAAGCAAGATCAGCATCAGGCCCGCTCCGTTCCTGCCCCAGATTCTTCTGGAGCAACTCCCAGTGAGGCACCCAGCTGCTCGTCCCCAAGGTCACCCAGCAGAGCCAGGAATAGAACTCAGGTCCCCTGAGTCCCAGCCCAGAGCATTATCCACTGAACCATGCAACCTTTCTACATGAGGCCCTAGTGGGGAAGTCTGCTGATGAAGCCAGGCTGAAAAGCGCCCCCCCCCCGGGTTCTCAGATAACCCTTTGGGGGTTCAGGGAGGGCAGCCCCCCGGCCTGGTGCAGTGGAACATTGGGCTGCTGGAGTTTGCTACGGAATCATAGAACTGCAGGGCTGGAAGGGACCTCGAGTGGTCATCAAGTCCAGCCCCCTGCACTGAAACAGGGCCGAGTAAACCTAAGACCATCCCGGACAGGGGTTTGTCTAACCCGTTCTTCCGAACAGCCCCAGAGGAGCGGGATCACTGCATGGCAAACCCAGACCTTGCCCTCTGCCAGCTCCAGAACCGCCCCCCCTCCCTCTGCAGCAATACCCGGCCCATCCTCTCAGGGGCAGGGATCCGGGTGTCGCCCGCCACGCTCCCTGGCTGCACTCACGTAATGTCCCGGCAGGTCCTTCTCTTCCCGTTTCCGCTTGAGCCCTGTGCCGCCCGGCCGCTCCTCGCCCTGCAGGCTCTCCGGAGAGGAGGCAGAAATGCTCTGCACAGGGGAAGCGAGAGGAGACCAGAGTTAATGCACAGCGAGGGCGGAGAGTCCCAGAAGGTGCCAAGCCATTTCCCACAGCTTCCTCCCCGGAGGCCAAGGGGACTGGAGCTCGGCACGCAGCTGCCAGCTTTGCGGCTGGCCGTCAGCCTGTGTGGCCTCGCTCTTTTCGGGGTGGGGAATTAACGTCATGGGCCTCTGGGCTCTGGCATCTGAACCCCTTCAAAGGCCAGAGTGGAGACTTGGGGTCTCGTAAATGCTGCCGCTCACCCGATCTCCTTCGCTAGTCGGGGGGGGGGGGGGTTCGCTTGGCACCAGACCCCATCGTATCCGCTCTCTTGGGAGCAGGATGTAAAGGGGAGGTCAACTCATGCCCTCAGCTCCCCCCGCCCTCCAGCTGCCTTCCTAGCACCCTGGGACCCTGCCCCTACCTGGACGCACCCCCAAACTCTCAGATTGGCACTGTGCAAAATCACACCCCAAATGTTAAAAGGCAGAGGCAGGTTCTAGCCCAGTGGTTAGATCAGCCAGCGAGTATTAGGAATGGGGGTACTAGGAGACAGGACCCCGCGGGGCTACTCCTGGTTCAGGGAGGGGGAATTTTGTCTAAGGGTCAAGCGTGGATCAGGGAGTCATGACTCCTGGGTTCTGCTGCCCATTCCAGGAGGGAGTGAAGTGGAGCAGTTAGGGCAGCAGGGACTGGGAGCCAGGACTCCTGGGTTCTCGATCACCGACTCACTCAGGCAAACTGCTTCTCTGCACCTCAGTTTCCCCATCTGCACAATCAGGATAATGCTCCTTACTTGCCTCCCAAGGAGGGGGGAAAAGACCAGGAGGCTTAATTCACTGAATGTTTATAAAACACTTAAAGATCTCCCTGAAAAGGCACCAAACAGCTGCTGAGTTTTGTCAATTTCACGTTCTGCCCTTAGCTCCCATGGCCAAGAATCCTCCAGCGCTGGCCGGGAGCCCATGCAACAGTCCAGATTGAGATCTGCCAGCTCCCCACACGCCTTCCTTAAAAAACAAACAAACATCTCTCCTCTCCTGGGCTCAGCCACCTTTGGGCACGAACATTGTTCAGCTGCCAGCATGTCACTTCTTCAGTAAATCATTCCACAGCTGGGCTGGCAGGATTTTTGTGCTTGCACTGAAGGAAGAGGGAGAAATAAAAAAATCCACCCAGCCCAACAAGGCCGCATGCCTTTCCCCAGTCAGGCACCACCAGTGCATCTGGATGGGGGGGGTCAGTTCAAGGAGAGAGACCAGTCGCTGGGAGCTGGCACATGCAAACAGATCTGTGTGCGGCAGGTGGGCCTCGTAAATGACCTATTTAAATAAGCATTTTCCAGAAGGAAAGGGGGGGCAGCTGGGAGCAGAAGAGCCGCCCCCCCGTCCCCCCACCACTGGAGGAAGCGCTGTGGTCTCTTTGCAGACCAGCCCTAACAGAGATGTTTGTATACTGGCTAAATTAAAACAACAGTCGAATAACAGCGGCCTCCCTTAGTCCCTGGACTTGAAAGAAGTTTTGCCCCTTTGGGAGATAATGAGGCATGACAGGAATGGAAAATCCCCATCAGCAGTCTCCTGTTTACTCTGCACGGCCCCGCCTTAACCCCTTCACCGCTGGAACAAGGGAGGTGGGGTATGAAGATGAGTTAGCACGTCCCTTTCCCCCTTCCCCCCCCACCCCATTGGCACCGGCCTGGTGTAGGTTTGATTGTAACAAAACCTGCAGTGGGTGTCTTAAATCCCTTTATCCCCCGCTACCGTGCTCTCCTCTCCTCCCCACCCCCACGCACCTGCTTTGGCCAAATTCTGATCCCGGTGGAACTGGCGTATAATCCGGAGTGACACTGGATTGACACTGGTGTTACAGGGGATCTAATCTACCTGATTAGGTTGAGAGGATACAGGGGTTTCAAAGTGGGCACTGATGTCCGGGTGCTTGGGCTTTGGGGTGCTCCCCCAGAGACATCCTGGGGCCTGATGTGCCAGGCTGCTGGGCACTCGCAGTTCCCAACAAGTTGTAGGTGCCCAGGATCTATGAAAATAAGGCCCCGGGGCACCTAGATCTGAAAACAAAATCAGTGGCCAGGCTGGAAAGTTTTGGCCTAAGATTGGTCATTTCCCCACCCCCCGCTCCTCTCCATGAATTGGCATTTGTTTGGAGCAAAGATCTCCCACTAGTAAACTCAGAGTGGACCAGAGGAAGCGACCTGTTCGCCCCGCAGACAGTTAATGCACGGGACTCCCTGCTGTAGGAGAACGCAAACCGCTTCCAAGGATTAGTCACTTGTCTGGCCTCTCCAGTGACAACGTGCCAAGATGAAAAGGACAAAGGGCCATCAATCCTCAGGCTTCAGGGCACAAGCAGATCCGTGGCTGTGGTCAGGCAGAATTTCCCCCAGTCCACCCCACTTACATACTGCAGTAATGCCTGGGAGCCCCAATCAGGGCCCAGAACCCCAAGGGGCAAGGTGCTGTATGAACACACAGCGTACGTGCCCCCAAGGGCGTACGCCTTCCTCTAAGGATCTGGAATCGACCCCTTTTGGATCAATCCACCTGCTGTGGCACGGTAGCCACGGTTCTTTCTTCCCGTGCCGCGCGCTGGCTGCCTAGCACATCACTTGTCCAGTCCACGCTATTGCTCATCCTCGGAGGAATTACGAGACCATCCTTCATGGTAGATCGATGCAAATGACTGGCCATCTTGAGGGGCACCGCGAGATCTTTAACCCTTCCTTGCCCTGCCTCCGCCGTTCGCTACAGACCAGAAAGGCTGAACCACAAAGCAATTTAACACCAAGGCATCGCCAGTGCCTGCCGGTGCCAGCTCCCTCTGCCCTGAAGCATTCCCTAGCCTCCTATTCCACCAGGACAAATGCCTGAGTAGCATGAATCTGGGATACATTTGAATAGGGTCTTTTTGGCCCTACTGGGGAGATCAGAACACACCTCCTCTTCCCCTTCCTCCCACCAGGTTCCTGTCAAGTCACCTGGATTTCACAGGTGGACACGGCTCAGGTGAGAGACCAGTTCTCTGGGCTGTCGCTCAGAGCCCACACAAAGGGAGAGAGAGATCTAAAGGCAGGAGGAGTGGTTCAAGCCTAGAACTGGGGGCTCGAGACACGCAGGTCCTATTCCTGGCCCTGGCTAGATCTTGGGCAATTCACTTCCCTGCCCCATGCCTCAGTTTCCCTCCCCGTGACCCTTGGCTGGCTAGAGCTAGGGATGCGCTAAGTGGGGGTTTGAGGTCACCCCTACCCTGGCGCATCCCCGGGCCTGGCCCAGCCTGCTCACGCAGGTGACCGCGGTATACTGGCAGGCAAGGCGGGAATACAGCAGCGCGGGGATCGGGAGGCACAGCACGCGCAGATGATCACTGCCAGAGCAGGGCAGAACAGCTCTCTCCTCGGCAAGGACGTAAGAGGCTATTTTGGGACGAGCTCGACCTTTAGACACTCGCCGTAGCGAGCGGGCAAATGGGCCAAGTCAGGCTGAGCACCTCCATCATTAAACTGCCCCCCCCACGCCCCTGAACAGGCACCCACCTGTCCAAGCGAGGGGGTTATTTTATCCCCCAGCAAGGAACCCCTTTATCTGGCACATTCCCAGCTCAGACTTGATCACTGATCCCCCCCCAACACTGCTGAGAGCTCCTCACAGATTTCATCGGGATCCGTTACCCTTCGCTTCCCATCCTGAGCTGCCGTGTGGCATTGCTGGGGCGCTGTTAAATAGCCACCACGTTCCACCCCAGAGGTGGCTGCATTTTAGTGGTGGGTGAATGGGTTTCCTGTGTGCTTTTTGTAGTGCTTTTAAGTAGGGTGAAGAGGACCGTAGGAGATGCCCCAGGTAACACTTTCTGATGTCAGGAACAATAGGAATATGCCTGTTTCCTATGGGGCTGGCTCAAGCGAACTATACAGCTGTGGGGGAGGGGAGCCTCCCCCAGTTCCCAGAAACCCCCTCAGCGGACACAAGGGTGTAATGGATGCACCCCATTTTACACACTGCAGGCACCCGGCCATGTTTATTACTGTGTGTACTTGACAGTCACTGCAGCTTTGAATTATGAGCTTCAAGTGTGTGTGTGTGTAAAGGCTCTCGGGGTGTGTGTGGGTGTGTGGGTGTGTGGGTGTGTGTGTAAAGGCTCTCGGGGTGTGTGTGTGTGTGTGTGTGTGTGTGTGTGTGTGTAAAGGCTCTCGGGGTGTGTGTGTGTGTGTGTGTTGGGAGGGTAGGGGGACAGGAAGCGTGCCTCTCACTGCAGCACTGCACACAGCCTTTGTGCGGAGGAAGGCGGGCGCTGGGCTGACAAGCTGGGACCCGTCTGCTCCCAGCTCGGCGGTGACAGCGGAAGCGCCCGACACTTTGCACGGAACAACGAACAAGGGTGAGGCCGGCGCGGCGCCCCTGGCAGGTTCGGGCTCCCTTCCATCAGGCCAGCTCTGAGTGAGGCTGGTTTCTAGAGGAGGGGAAGGGATCTGCCTTCAGCTCCTTAGTGCTGGGAGACCCAATTCCTCCGTCCCCAGCCCAGGGCAGCCCTCCGGCGAGCTTCTCCCACGCCCCCCGGCTCCTGCCAGCCGGCACCCACCCTGGAGATAGGAACGGGAGAGGAATTCAGCCTCTATGGTCCACTAGTCCCAAGCTTCTCGCCAGGGGCCGTGTTTGCTAAGTGCTCAGCATCCACCCACCGGGCCCAGCTCCTCCAAAGAGCACCCAGCACGCGGAGCCTTTGCAAGCCCAGCCCTTGGGACAAGTCACCCTTGGCACGTCCCTAGCTCTTTCCTTCTGGAGATCGCAGACAACTGAGCCTCCAGACCGGCCCTGTGAGGATCACAGTCCCCGATTGACAGCTGGGGGAAACTGAGGCACCGAGCAGGGAAGTGACTCAGTGGCACAAACTAGTAACCTCAGCTCCTCAGGCCACGTCTTCATTACAAGGCCATCATCCTTCTCCACCAACGCGGGCCCATGACTCACCCCCCACTCCGCAAGGCCATCAGACAGGCGGGATCCGAGGGCAAGTCCCATCCTGTGCACCCCTCCCCGAGCCAGCCAGTCCCTCCTCACCCCCGAGAGGGAAAAGCAAAGCTCTTTGGGGAATGCGTCAATGATCTTTGCTTCCTTGGTGCAAATTCCAGTTCTGGGCCAGATCCTCAGCGGGTGCAAACAGCTGTAGCTACATTTACGTCCATGGTGTAACCCGGATGGTGTAACCCGATAGAGCTCCATTGAAGTCAGTGGGGCCCAATCCCCAGCTGCTGTCAATCAGCCTTGCTCTACTGAAGTCCCTGGGGTCTGCCCCCCGGGGCAGGGGAGAACCCCCTGGAGTCAGATCCCCAGCTGGCGTAGGTAACGGTAGCTTCCCTGAAGTCAACGGAGCGATGCCAATTGACACCAGCTCCAAATGGGGCTCTCTGGCTTTAATACAACTCCACCCCCAGCCCCTGGAAATAATCTGTCCACAGAAGCAAATTAAATGTGGATCCCGAGCGCTGCAGAAAACATCCCCGCTGGTTCCCCTCCAGCCGCGAATCCTCCCCCAGGCCACGGTTCAGACTCTAGCCCTGGCACTGAAAACAAAGGGCAGCGGGAATGCGATCTCCGGGCTGTTTGCTTTGAAAAGGTCAGGCAACAAAACATTCCTGGGAACCCCAGTGCAACCACAAGAGAAGGGAGCCGGGCGCAGCGCTTGGAGAGAAGACGCCACTCACGGCTCTTCCTGAAAGCACCCAAAGATGGAGTCTGACCAACGCTCTCACCAACAGAGTGACCCCTCGGCCCTTCAGTCTCTCTGCTGCTCTGGGGTCTCAAAGGGCGGCCCCCCGGGAATCCACCTGCCACGCCGGGGGCATAGCTGGCGTAAGGGCCATGCACCAAACCTGCTCCCACCTATGGCCTGGCCAGAGTACCCTGCACTGTGGCTAGTCTCTGCTTTCCAATGCTCCGCTGGGCACCCAAAGCCAGAGGCCTCTTTGCCCAGAGTCAGGTTGAGAGCTGGGATTCAAACTCAGCTTCCAGCCCTGTGCACAGCCCAGCTGACCTCACGTCTCTGGATCCTTGCAGGCCGGGAGGGGATGAGATGCGCCCACCCTGCCAGAGCCCCAAGATTGTCATTTCAGTATGAGCCCTCGCTCATTGCTTGAGGTCCAACACCTTCCTTTAAGCTAATATCCACCCTCGCCCAGACAGGTCCTCGCCAGGCTCCCGTCGCATGGCTTACCCGGCTTGGCGTGCGCTCTGGGGTCCGTCCAGCAGGCAGACACAGGTGCGTGGATAGCCCCAGATTGGGAAAACACAAAGGGAGAACAAAGAGATTCATTTAGTTCTGATGTCACATGGCCAAGCCCAAGCCGCAGAGGTCTGAGCTGGGTTGTACGTCCCCAGAGTAATCAGAGCTCTCTGTCAGCCAGGAAAGGCTGGACAGAGCCATTCCTGGCAACCCGGCTACAGGGGCACAATCATTTCCTTGCACTAGTGAATGGATGGTCCAGATCACTTGGGAATAGAATTAGATCTTTCCACCCACTGGGCTTCATTCCAGCATCAAGGGTTACCCTGGTCTGGTCACCCCACATAATCACAGGTAAGCGTCTGAGACACACCCATCTGAGTCTGATGCACAGCCCCCAAGCAGGAATTTAGAGAACCCCAAAGCCTGAGGGCTGTGATGTAGCAGCTTGTACCATAAAGAGAAACTGTCTGTGTAAAACAATAGCAAATTTTCTCTGGTGGAGGACAGCGTGAACCCGATCCTTGGCCTGGGCTGCAGGGCTGATGTTGCTTGTACTCATGACCGATACGGGAACTGCAAAAGCAGGTAGGCCTTGTCCATGTCTGGCCAGAGAAAACGGTTATTTGGAGCGCAGGCGTGCCTGTGCGGTGTCTTTGTATTGTTCTCGTTGTGTAAAGCTCAAAAGACACAGTAGGGACATCACCCCCATTTCACAGATGGAGAGCTGAGGCACAGAGCAGATGAAGTGGCTTGCCCACGGTCCCACAGCAAATCTGTGGGTGAGCGGAGAAGTGAAAGCACATCTCCCGAGTCCCAGCCTAGAGCCCTCTCCCTGAGCCCAGCGGCTCTCCACCTTTCCACACTACTGTGCCCTTTCCGGAGTCTGCTCTGTCTCGCGTCCCTCCAAGTTCCACCTCACTTCAAAACGACTTGCTTACAAAATCAGACGTAAAAGGACAGAAGTGTCTCAGCTCACTCGTACTGAACAATGGCTGACTTTCTCCTTTTTACCATATAATTATAAAATAAATCAACTGGAATATAAATAGTGTACGTACATTTCAGTGTATAGTACACAGAGCAGTATAACCAAGTCATGGTCGGTATGCAATTTTACTTTGTCCTGACTTCGCTACTGCTTTTTATGTAGCCTGTTGTAAAACGAAGCGAATACCCCCTGGAAGATCTCTGCGTCCCCGCAGGGGTACGCGAACCCCTGGCTGAGAACCACTGCCCTAGACCATCCTTCCTCCCCTAGCAGCGCGACCGTTAGCTACAAGGGTCTGAACTTCCCCAAAGTTTGAGGATACTCAGATTGGGGGGCAGGAGAAAATGGAGGTTGGGGGCAGGAGGTAGATACACAATACCTTGGCTAAAGGGAGACAGGCTAACTGATGCTGGACACAATTGTAGAAAAATGCCAGGTGCATCCCCACACCCACAGGCCCTGTGTGTGCTTTTCCTCTCCCCAAGCTTTGACCAGGCCTCTTTTGCATGCAATGCATGTGACACAAACACCATCTCATCAAATGAGCCGAGATCACCAGGGGTCTGGATGCAAATTTCAGCCTGAGGTTGTCTGTACAGCGCTCCCTGCTCCCGGAAGATCCTGGCTGGTAATGATCGCATCAGCATTTGGAGAGGATAAATGGGTTCTCCCAGCAGAATCCCAATCTTCTCTGGCAGGAGGACAGATGCTCAGGGATGAAGCAGACGGAAATCAAGAGATGGGGGTTTCTGAACAGATTTAACCGCTCCAGGACTCACTGGTCAGCACAAAGGGGTGGGGGTGGGGATTACAATCTCATAATGCAGGATGGATTTAATCATACCAGTTCTTGAACCATTCACCCCGAGATACTAGGATTACCCCTTAGATGTATGTAGCATTGCACGGGTTTTTAAGGGCAAAAGGGACCATCTAATCCAACACAACACAGCCCATAGGAGGACACCTACTGTCTCCTGCAGCCAGGGCCGGCTCCAAGCACCAGCTTAGCAAGCAGGTGCTTGGGGCGGCCAAGGGGAAGGGGCGGCACGTCGGGCTCTTCGGTGGCGGGTCCCTCGGTCCCTCTCAGAGGGAAGGACCTGCCGCCGAATTGCCGCGGAAGAAGAAAGCGGCGCGGCTGAGCTGCCGCCGATCGTGGCTTTCCCACCCCCCCCTGCCGCCGCTTGGGGCGGCAAAAACCCTGGAGCCGGCCCTGCCTGCATCTAGCCCAGCAGTGCACAGGACAAGCTTCCTCTTAAAGCATCCATCGGCCTACCTGTCTGGCTCTCAAAGGGTTAAGCAAGAAAGAGTAAAGCCTGCTTTTCTCCTCTTCCAACTGTTGTCTTTCTTTGGGGGGGGGGCACCTTAAAGCGACACTGTCAAAATTAAACGCGTGCACCTACGTGTGCGGAGGGTGTATACACACACGCTCACACCCGATTGCTGGTGCCACTCATGCCACTTAAAATGATCTAGTTTTGCTTTTAATAATGCATCTGACTAAGTGAGCATTCACCCACGAAAGCTTATGCTCCAATACATCTGTTAGTCTTAAAGGTGCCACAGGCCTCTCTGTTGCTGTTAAAAACAGTTTCCCTTTCACCATTTTGGTTCTTATTTATGTAACCGTTGTGTGCACCTGAGGGTTCTCCATCAGGGAACCGGCCGAAGCACCGGAACGCTTATTGAAAAGACAAAAAAGAGTTTGCAATCTAGGGTTTGTTTGCAATTTAGCAGCGACCTTAGACTGGTCCATTTCGCTTCTGGCGTCTCATAAACCAGGCTAGTCCTGTTGTGTTTGGGTTGCTAACATTACATGGGGACCCTGGTGTGTAAAGAAACAAAACAAATGATTGAATCACCCTTTTGGTTTCCTTTAAATAAATCACAACAACATTTCTAGTACCTTCAGGGCTCAGAACACACTCATAGGATATCAGGGTTGGAAGGGACCTCAGGAGGTCATCTAGTCCCACCCCCTGCTCAAAGCAGGACCAATCCCCAGACAGATTTTTACCCCAGTTCCCTAAATGGCCCCCTCAAGGATTGAGCTCACAACCCTGGGTTTAGCAGGCCAATGCTCAAACCACTGAGCTATCCCTCTTAACCACAACCTATGTTTAACATACACTGCCCCTACTGGAAGGCAGCATGGCCTAGTGGACAGAGCACCAGTGTGCAACCCAGGAGCCCTGGGTTTTATTTCTGGCTCTTCTACTAGGCTGCCAGGTGACTCTGGGCAATGCACTTCACTACCCAATGCCTCAGTTTCCCCGTACATAAAATGGGGATAGCGAGACCTCTGTCACAAAGTGCTTTGAGATGTCTGGATAAGAAGCATTTTAGAGCTAGATACCATGATGACCCCACAGTAGCTGACATGAACATTAGCCTTTAGCTAATTTAATGATGATTAAGATAGTAAGTAAGGGGTTGTAAACCATTTTGTGATGCTGGTATAAAAAGTAGGGCTGGTTGGAAAATAACTCCATTTCAACCTTTGGTTTCATTCTGTTATCAGAACAAAAGTGAGACCCTTCTAAATCTTTTCATGAGAAAAGAGAGAAAGCAAGCACAAGCGCACACATGCAAGAGAGGAGAGGGGGAAAAAATGGATTCTCTCCACCCCAGAATAGCCTAGTGCACTCACCAGGACTGCAAGACACCCAGGCTCCAATCCCTGCTTTGTCTGATTTAGAGCAAGGACTTGAACCTGGGTCCCTCACACCCTTAACCACTGGTCTCCGGAGTCAGTCTCTCTTGTTTTAATCGGAAATTCCATCTTCAGTGAATCGGCATTTTCCGAGCAAAAAAATTCCCGCCCAGCTCTACTACAAAAGGTATCAGAGAAGGACGATCTATTATTGTTAACTTCCACCACCCTTTGCAAGACAGCACAGTATAAATCATTGGAACAGAGGACATCGGTTCCAAATTTATTACACTGTTCCTAACTCTTGAGTCTTGCACTACGTTAGTGTTGTTCTTAAAGCCCCAGCTCCTGGAGTCATGTGAGTGCCCAAGAATCGCAACTTTCATTGGAACCAAAATTAATTTCTAGCCCTCGGAGCTGTGGAGAAAAAGCTTGAAAGTGGATCTGAAGTGGAAGGAAAAAGACATAGAACCCAACGCCGTTTTTAGAACCATCTACTGATTTTCGTGGGCCTGACTCATGAGTGCTGAACATTTGGGGTTGGCAGTAAGGACTTTAGCAGACAGGCTTCTTGACCATTATAATGTCACGCTGATGGCCCAATGGAACGGTATGCATTGGCAACGGGCATCTTTATCTGAAAACAACGTGGGAAATACCAAATGCCACTACCTGCCTAGACTCCTATGCCATGCCCCTAGCCAAGCTGAGCGTTGGCGGAGAGCAGCTGGCAAGAGTTACCCTCTTAGTGCCTGGACATAGAGCCAGAGTGTGGTGCTGGACTGCCCAAGCATGCTGGAAGCAGCGGGCACAGAGGGGGAAGATAAACGCCGACGTAGGACAGGGAGAGGAGGAACACAGGACCAGAGCCATAGAAGGCGAGAGGCTGGAAAGGACGGGAGGTGGAGGTGGCTGTTTCATTCAGTTTCAAAGCCATTTCTGCCCAGGGAGCAGGTGGACACAGAGAACAAGCTGGGCTGAGTCCGGAAGGGTCAAACAACAACGACAGGCAGTGACTGAGAAAGACGGAGAGGGCAGCGCTGGAGGTCGCAGCCGCTGCTGCAGCCCGGAGAGGTGCCCAGGGGGTGGATGTCACACACAATGTAGTAGGGCCACCCTCCTTCCTGATTTCCACCTGGCTCGGGCTAGCCGGGGAAACTGATTCTCAGGCATCTTCCCTGCCCTGTTTGGTACCCGAGGATCCCAGCACTGCTTGGCTCCATACCTCCCCCTCCTCCCCCATCCAGGAGGGGCCCATTCCGAGCCAGTCGGCACCGATCCTTGGGAGGTGCAAAGGCCCACTGTGCTACCTTTGCGGCTTTCCCAATCCTCGGCCACGCTGGGAGGAGGAGACTACGAGCTAGGTTTTAGCTGATGGGGGTCCCCCCCGTCCCCGAGTGGCAGTGCAGAGGTTGCAGCCACACAGAGCAGGCTGTTAATGGCATCTTCCCCCCAAACCGTTTGGAGACAGGACTAAGGAGCGGTTTGGATAACACAAATCCACGCACATACACCCCTGCATGCATGGGGCACACCGATAAAGACACACCCGTCCTGTGCATGGGTTTCATGGACACAACCAGGCACACGTCCTGCCCACGCGCACGCCTTCCGGGGTCCACTCGGCGCCGCAGCTGTTCCCTCCGTCAAAAATAGCGCCAACCTCGCGAGGCTCCAGAGACTTAATTAGCTTCATCTATCACTCGCCGCGCCCGGCGCTTTCCTGGCCGGAGCCGGCAGCTGCCGCACACCAGTGAGCCCTGGGTAAAGGGCAGAGTGGGGCGACGTCTGCTCTCACTGCTGTGGTTTGCTGAAGGCCCCTGGTGGGGGGGCTGTTGGCTAACACCAAATGGCAGTGCTCCTTAGGGACCAATCACTTCCCCTCCAGTCCACGCCCTAGCCAGCCTGGCTCTGCCCCCCCCAGGAGGAACGGGCATCTTTCAGGCTTCAAAGGGCTAATTGCCCCTTGTCCCTTCCCACTCCCGCACCATGCAAGTCCTTTCCCTTACCTCTGTTATTCTCAGCATCCTGAGCCGCCCTGTCCTCCTTTGCGGCAAGCTGAGACTGGGCCACCAGTGCCCCCGACAGGGCCAGGAGTCCCGAGGTGCTGACCAGGCTGGAAGGCTGCATGCCCGAAGGGTGCGGGGTGAGCGGGATGGGAGGCGCGTGGTGGGAGAGGTGCTGGAGCTGCTGCTGCTGAAGGAGAAAGAGCCAGGGCTGCGGGGTATTGCTACGAGACGCCCTTCCCCCTGACTCACCCAACCCCCTTAGCCCCGCTACCCGCCCCGAAGCAGTTCCAAGATCCTTTGCCCAGCTGCAGCCATGAGCCAGAGCTCTCTCGGAGGTGGGGGATGATCGGGCTCTCTGCTGCAGGATGACCCCCAAGGCTCCCTGCGCGATTTCAACAGCTCCCCTTGAGACCTGCCCAGGGCCCGGAGCAGCTCTTAGGTCAGTGGGAGTTTGGCCATTGTTGTCAGAAGGCACCTGGTCTCCACCCAGGCCTGTCCAATGCCGCCTTGAGGCCATGATGTTCCCTCCCCTCCACCCAGCTTTCCTGCCTTTTGCTGCCTGTGGGACACTGAGTGGTGCGCCGCAGGGGGAGACGACTGTCTGGCGTGCTCATCACACGGCTGCAAAGGAGGAAGACACAAGGGAGCATCCATCCAGCTGGCTGGGAGCAGCCCGGAGCTGTGGTCTGGGGTTACCCTGCCAGGGGCATCCTGGCTCCAAATTCCCTGATCAGAACTCCCTTCCCCTCCCCCATCGCTGGGCTACTCACCCCAATGATGCTGTTCAGTTCCCCCATGGTCACCTGCTTGGCCCGCTCCACGGCTTGCAGCACCTGCTGCTGGTGCTGGGAAAGGAAGGCACGGCGGGTCAGGAGCCCGGCCAGGCGTGAGCTCACGCCCCATCAAAAAGACAACTGAGCCTCTGGGGGACGAGGCAGAGCTGCCCCCTCCCGGGTTATGGTCCAGGAGACCCTCCCAGGGGGAACACCCCCAGAGGTCTCACCCTCCTGGGATCTCCCTCTCACACAGCACAACTTTTTATCCCAGTGCAACCTAGCGCCTCCTAGTGTCCTCCACCGCGCCACGACTCTACCCATCCCCCAGGCAGCCCGACGCACGCCCGCTTACCTCCTGCGTCAGGAACGGTATGATCTGGGCACAGATGGCACTCAGCCTCTTCACTATCTCCGCCTGAAAGGGCAAAAGGCAGCTCTGTCATGCCAAGCGCTGGCGCTGCTTAGAAGAACGGGTGCTCTTGATTTAAAGGCCCCCCGCCCCGCCCAGGCTCAGGGCTAAGAGCGATGTTGATAGCCTGGGATAAACCCCCAAACTCCCATCCCGGCCTGCAGCGGGGCTCGGTGCAAAGACCAGGATGGATTCTCGAGGGATCCCTGCTCCAGAGTCCTGGTGGGGACTTTGCAGGGCATGTCCCCGGGGTATTACATGCACTGGATTTCACGGGCTCCACCATTCCTGCCGGGCACAGATCCCGCATGCAGCCTGTGCCTTTTGCCCACTGGTACGAGGGCTGGGTGCTTGGCCAACCCCTGTTTTCTGGGGGTTGCCAAAGGAGTTGGTATTCACCCAGAACACTTCCTAGGGGGTCTCTCGTCTGCCCCCTAACACCACCGCCCAGACACACGGAGTTCACGACACCCCTCGGAGGAGGGGAGCATTATGATCTCCATTGCACAGATGGGGAAACAGACAGAGAGACTAAGTACCTCACAAGACAGGGTTTAACCCTGATCTCCTGAGCCCCAGGCCAGCGCCGTAGCCACGAGGCTCTCCTCGCTCACCTAACACCTGTCTTTTCTTTCACGGCTGAGTCAACTGAAAAACTCTTCCCAGCCAAAGGACAGGCTGTGCTCAGCGCGGGGCACAGAAGAGCCCCGAAGCTCGGCTGGCCCACGGCCAGAGCAGAGGGACCGCCCTAGAGAGGACTGGCTCCTCTGAATGATGTTTCTCCCCCTTCCCTGCCAAGTGGAACGTGATACCAAGAGCGTTCGAGCTGGAGTCAAACTTTCCAACCCACAGTGAGTTCGAGTGGGTTCAAAATAAGGCAAAAGCAGTTCATCCACCCGACACGGAGCTCTTTCTGGCAGGCTGCTTGGGGGATTTGGGGCTCTTCCCTACAGGGCGATAGCTAGGGATATAAAAATCTGCTCCACCCCCTGCACTGGGCTTGATCCATCACCCCCACTCATGGAATCTCTAAACTGCCAGGGCTGGTGGGCTGCCTAGACATAATTTATGCACTGGTATTTATTTAGATGCATGATCACACTTAGCCCTTCAGCTGGCTTTTCCATGTACTGATCTCAGAGCCCTTTCTGAAGAGGGGACAACACAATCATCTCAGTTTTCCAGAGGGGGAAACTGAGGCACCGCGCGGGGCGGTTACTTGCCCACAGTCTCAAAGGGGTAGAACCCAGGTCTCCCGTCTCCCAGCCTAGTGCCCGGCCCCGTTGGCTACACTGCCTCCTGCACGGAAACAGTTTCCCAAGGGAAGCCGTAAAAGCCTCAGAGCTCGATAACATTTAAACCTCATGCAGCAAATCCACCTTGGCACTCGCCTGGGGACACAGACAAGCTGGTCTGCTCTATTTTTCCGTCTCAGATTTCTAGGACTCTCCGAGAGAGGTGCAGAGAGCTCGCGAGCGCTAATATAAAGCCCAGCGAAGAACAAAGGAAATCGTCCAGGCCCCCTAAGTAACACGGCCCCGGCTATTCCCAGTCACAGCCAGGGGGGCACACAGCACCGGCAATTCCACCCAGCCTTCCCTCCTGACACCCGACAGTGACAGGGCATCGGAGATGCAGCAACCAGAAACCAAATGGGGTTAATTCAGTCCAATGGAAATAAAAGCAGCATTACTCGTCACCTGCAGCTCCCACTCCCTGCTCTAACCACTGAAGCGTACTTCCACCCGCAGCTAAAGACTAGAGCCCGAGTCCGCGGACCCAGTATTCTGCTCTTAGACCACACACACATTCAGAGCTAGGAGCAGAACCCAGGAGTCCTGAGACCCACTCCCAGAATTGGGATTAGAACCCAGGAGTCCTTGTTCCCAGGCTCCTTTGTTCTAACCACTTGGCAACACTCCTTTCCATCTCGCTGTAGCTTCGTTGCCTTGTACAACAAACAAATATGGTTTGTTCTTGTTCAGCTCCCGGGGTGCCTGCTGGATCTCGGGATCCCATCAGAGTTTGGAGTAAATTAGGAAGCTGAGAATGAAAGTGACTCTCACGCACCACCCTGCTAACAAAAGGAGCAAACTTGGAGGGCTGAGCCAGCTGGAGAAATATGGCAGTCGACTTGCCACTTTGTCAGGCACCGTTCCAAACTAATTTCCCTGGCAGCCAGCCCTGCGATGACTAGATTGATAAATCTGAAGAGGAAAGCAAATTACAGCTGGAACAAAAGGAGACTGGGATGGTGAAAAACACTCCAGCGTCTTTGGGAAGGGAAAGAAAAAAAAGATCCATTTGATTTTCAGTTTCTCTAGGCCTTCTCTCCGGCTCCCTGCTGTTCACCCCCAGCTTTCTCTGTAGCGGAGGTGCCAGATAAACCATCCGCCTAAGAGCGCAGCGGTGCTAATGCCCACTGGGCTGGGGCCTAATTAGGAGACCGCGGGCCGGATTTTTAAAGGTCTTTTGGTGCCTACAGATGAAAATAGGCCCCAAGTGGGATTTTCAGAAATGCCTTGAAATCAATGGCTCTGCGTCTTTAGATGCCGAAGTACCTTAACAAATCTGACCCTTAGCCCCCCTCAGATTGGCTAAAACCCAAAGGCAGCAAGCACCGACCTACCAGCCAATCTCTAGCACACAGATAACCACCAGCGAACAGTCTACTCCTGAGCCTGGTTCCACACCTGCCCCTCACACCTTTCTCCTTCTCAGCCCCCCTTTTCCCTTTGTCTTTCCATTTTAGCTGATCCCCTCCTAACTAAACCCACCCAAACATTATTAAACGAAAGAAAAATCATGCCGCTACCATGCTATCTGCAGCCATCACATTGATCATTCTGTTAGGCCTTCGATCCCTTCCCCTGGGTCTGTCTTATCTATTTGGATTGCAAGCGCTTCAGGGTAAGGACGGTATCTTACGCTGGGTTTGTACAGCAACTAGCACAACACGGCTCCATCCTCCATTGGTCCCGAGGTGCTACTCTACTAAACATAATTCATAATCACACCCAGAGCTTCTGCCATGTGCATTTTCCAATTGTTATGGATTTAAATGTTCCCAATTGCACAAAATTAGGGGTTTTAAGCACACCCCTCCCCCCGTTTTTATCAATTTACATTTTCACAGTTGCAGGAAATTAGGGAGGGGGGCGTCAGACAATAATTATTTAATGACAGTAGATGTTGAGATCCAGAAAGTTAAAGCTTTAGAACTGTTAGAACACAAACTGTCAACATCACATGTCAAAATCCACAAAGGAAACAGCCTTAAATCAAAACGTCTCAGGCCGAATTTTTCTTACTTTGCCCATCTGTAAATGTAGATGATCACCGACGGAAATATTTTCGCTGGTGTGTGTGCGTGCGCGCGGTGAAATTGACGCTTATCGACATTTACTAATACAAATGGAACCCTTCCAAGGCTGCATACAGGCCAGCGGTGAATGGGTCCATGGTCTGGCATGAGCTTACCCGCTGAATCAGGTATGTGGCTGGCAGGGCCGGCTCCAGGCACCAGCCTGGCAAGCAGGTGCTTGGGGCGGCCACTCCGGAGAGGGGCGGCAGGTCCAGCTATTCGGCGGCAATTCGGCGGACGGTCCCTCACTCCCGCTCGGAGCGAAGGACCTCCCGCCGAATTGCCGCCGCAGATCGCGGCTTTTTTTTTTTTGCCTGCTTGGGGAGGCCAAAACCCTGGAGCCGGCCCTGGTGGCTGGCCGGCTAACGGTGCCTTGGGAATGCCTTGCACTGTTCTCCTCACCTGGCTGCCTATTGAATTCAAGTCCCTGAGCAGACTGGAGGTCCAGCCCCCAAGTGAACCTCCATTTCCAATCACCAGGCTGCAGTCCTATGGGATTAAGCAAATTCTCCCAGCCCCCCAAGTCTAAGCCGGAAGCTCCGCGTTCAGCCCCAGCCCCAGACGAAGACACAGAACGGTCGGCGTCGGAGATAACTGGGGTTGGGGTGGGGAACAGTTTCCAGAGATGCTGCAGAGATGGGGATGCTCCTATATCCTTATCCCAATTCCCCCCAGCAAATCAAGAGCCCCCCTCACTCACCTGCTTGTGCATTTCAATGTTCAGCCCATAGGACATTTCGTAGTACTGAAAGCAAACCACAACACAGCTGGTTAGAAGAGGACTCTCCATTCGCCACCAGATAACAAACCAGCTACCAGCAGGGCTTGGTACCTACTCCACATGGCTCCCTCCCCCTGGCCAAACTGGCCCTGGTGTAACTCCATCAGCAGTCAACTACAGAGATGGGTTTTGCTTTTCCCAGGGTCAGGCCCAGATTTATTGACTGAGGGACAGATCGGGGATAGGTGCTGGCCTCTTTCAGTTCTGGGAAGGTGGGAGGAGCCCACAGAAGGCCCGCCCCTTCAGATGAGGGAGGGGCCACAGGACCAGGATTCAGCTAAGCAGGGAGGACGAAAACAAGGACAGGGGGATGGTTCACCAGGCCTGGAGATTGAAGGCCTGTGTGTAGCCACCTGGGCAAGCTTCCTCAGCATTGTCCCTGGAGGAGAGTTCAGTCTCCACAGCCCAATCTAATCCAGGCCAACTCTGAGCGCTGGACTCTGAGTCTCTGGGCCACCCAGAGATTAAGGGGTTGACTTCTCTGGGTCCAGCGCTAACCATTGGGCTATACTCCCTCTGGCAATGCGCATCAAGGGCAACAATGGGTTTTTGTGATGGTGGGAGCGGCACTTGTCCACCAGGGACTGGACTGAGACCCACCAAACTCATATCACCAGAAACGGACGAATGGAAATGATTTTTCAGTCACTTACAACCTAGCACGAGTTCAGGATGGTGACCTGGAGAAGGTATATTATGGTTTAAAGAAGGTAGCTCAGGATCTTTGATTCGTCCTATTGTCATAATACCAGGACGAAGGAGCAGTCAATGAAACAGAAAGGTGGAAAATTCAAAACTGATCACAGGAAGTGATTTTTTTTTCTCCAGACAAAGCTCAGTTTAGCCTGTGGAACTCCTTGTCACAAGAAGTCACTGAGGCTGAGAACTTGGCAGGATTTGGACAGGGATCATACATCGGTATGAACAGGGACAGCCAGAGTGACAACAGTAAAGATTAAAGAATCAATGAGTGTTCTGGAAGGGAAATAAACCCTCATGCTTCAGGGCATGCACAACCCCTAGCTATTGGGGTCAGGAGGAAGTTTTCCCTGGAGGCAGCTTGTCTCATAACTGCCTATTGAGGGGTTTCTTGCACCTTCCTCTGAAGCAGATGGTAACATCAGAGACAAGATATTGGGCTAGAATCAGACCCTGGGTTTAATTCACCATGGCAATTCCTGTGTTCCTATCCCGTTTCCAACCTCAGCCCTAACCCCACCAGGCTGATCGCTGGAGGCCTATAATTTGCTGCAATTATGGGCAGTGGCAAGTAGCAATTCTGATTAACTCCGCGATGGCTGTTTCAAGAAGCCCACGTCAGAGTCCATCCTCCAGCAGTACTTTGGAAGGGGTTTTATGAAACGACCTCGGGGTTCAGTTTGCTTCCAGCCACCCCCTCTCCACCTGGAAGGGCTGGACGTCAATAGTTACGAGGCCAAATGAAAAAATGGCATCGTTCCCAGCATCTAACAGCATCATGGCAGCGGCAGCAGACGGCGCGGCAGGAACCAACCGTTGCTAGGAATAGATGTTAACTCCTTCCTGACCAGTGCCTTTCCCCGCCCCCACCCCCTTGGGAGAGCACCCATAGGCAGGTGAGTGCAACATCATCCAGCTAGGAGTGGCGGTCCTTGGAGGCCAGCTCTCAGGCTGAATGGCTTGTTGACCTGCCCCAGTAGGATGATTATGTGGCCCCTTTGGTGGGTGGTCAAGAGGGTCTCTTACCATGACATAATGTCTCTGCATCTCGGTCTTCTCGCTCGCCAGCTTCTCACATTCCAGCTTCAGACTGCAAGGGGAAACCGTCTTCATTTGCAGCCCCGGATCCACCTCCACCCCCGAGCTGCACCCTGCACACCTCCCACCCTGCCCCGCTGCGGCGGAAGGGGCCATCCCCGCAGCAGGAGTCGGGTGCCATCGCTCCGTGCCACGCACCTCCCCAGCGGCGTTCCACCAGCTGGTCAGCGGCTTGGAGCCTGGCTTGGAAGGGTATAAATCTGGCCCCTGGCCTGTCACCCGCCCAGCCCCACTCCCCTGATCTCCTCTCCGCTCCCATCGCTGTTCCCCCTTGTAACACCGAGTCCAGCGAGGCCTTGCTGTGGCTTGAGAAAACGAACCTGCCTCCTCCCACTTTGCCTGTGACCCCGAGCGCAGCTCTGGCGCACTCCTGACATGTACCCCCTGAACTGCCTGTCCCACCCCACCCCCGGCTCCTTCTCCCTGATCTGTGACCCCAAGACCCCTCGGAGCTCCCCCTCGCATTTGTGTGCGCCCAGCCCTGCCTCAAACGCCTTACCTGGGACCCTCAGACTCGCCCCTCTGTGATCACCCCCTGCCTTACCTGTAACCCTGGGCACCAGTCTCTCCACCCCAACCCCCTTTTCCCTGCGATCCTAGACACTTGTCTATCTGCATCTCTCACCCGACCCCAGGACGGTCCCTTCCCCGTGGCCCCCTCCCCCACGCCTGCCCGCCCCCTCCCCCAACGGCCTGCCCCTCACCTGTGATACTGAGCCTGCAGGAACTGGAATTCTTCCTTAATCCGGTCGCAGATTTCCAAAATCGAGAACTTGAAGGGCTGCCCAGACTGAAGCGGAGCCTAGAGTAGATCAGTAACAACAACGCTGCTGCCAGCCCAGCCCACCCCATCGCCAACGCACTGCCCTGACCCACCTTCCAACCCCAACCCTCTCCTCTCCCTTAGCTCATGGCCCAGGGACCGCCCCCCCTCCCATTCCAAAATCCACCCCCTCGCCTCACCCCCAGCCCGTCCGGCACACCCGGAGCCCAGGATGGTACTTACAGGGTGCCGTCCTTGTGGGTACATCCTGGGGGACTTGCCCAAAATTGATGCCCACCGGAGGAGGGAGAACACCCTCTTTAACCTCCCCACCCTGGCTTCTTCTTTAACTTCTCCAACAGCCGCTGGTCACCAGGAGAACAAGCGGGCGAAGGAATCCTGTCTCCGGGAGGGACGGACGGATATTGGAATCTTCTTCCGATGGGCTTTTTTTTTTTTTTTTTTTTGAAATACAATTATTTATTGTTGTGGGTACGGCTCAGCCGGGGCGAAGAACATTTCCGTCGGGTGAAAGGGGAGAGAGAATTCCTCCCCAGTGGGTCGTGCTTGGCCGGGTCGCCTCGGCCCCCCCATCGGACACGGGGCTGGGGGGAAATATAATCTGTCTTAAAGCACCACACACACACACACACAAAAAGGCAGGAACAGAAGGTCAGTAGAAAATCTGGCTGGATTTCAATAGCGGTCCCTGGCTAGAATGAAAACTGCCTCCTGGCAAGGCAAAAGGAGAGCAGGGGAGTCTGTCGAACTGGATCCTTAAGGTGGTCCTTTCTCGGTAGGAGGTGGCACCAGGGGCTTTGCCCGCTGGCTCTGGGATCCATGCCAGGGACGCTTCCCACCCGCTAGAGGTGTCAGAGGGCAGAGATTCCCCCCACCACACGCCCCCGCTCCACGCCCGCCTCCCTCCTCCCCATCGTGGTGGGAAGGCAAACTGAACCGAGGGAAGCAGCTGCTCCCACTTCCTAGCGGCTCCCCCACATCCTGCTGGGCTGGGGGAGGATGGGTTGCTAGCCGACTGGCCCGCTCAGTCTCCTGCTCGCTTGGCCTTTGAGGACAGGGCCCCGGATTTGTGGGGGTGGGGGTGGCCTCCTCATTGGCCTTTCGTGTCGCCTGGGATGTTCAGCTCCAAGCTGGCTCAGTTATATCCCTGCGTGGGCCCCCTTAAAGTGTGGGGCTGGGCTGCCTCAACCAGAATGATCGGGACCCCTCCCAAATGTCCCCCCACTCGCTGACTGTCCCTCCCTCGCACCCCAGACACACCCATCTCTCCCAGCCCACCCCCCTTTGCCCCAAAAAGTCTCTTCACCCTCCTCTGCCCTCAGACCTCTCCTCCATACAGGCCCCCCACCCCACTGGCCTCTGGGATCTTCCACTCCCACAGAGATCCATGCTGCCCCACTGCCAGTGCCTCAGACAGGTGGGCCCAGATCTGAAGGGGCCTGGATGTAAGCTCCCCCCCCCGACCCAAATGAAGCCAACCTTAATAAGCTTTGCCCTCTGGGAGCCTCCATCTGCCTGGTTTCATGCTTCCTGGCCCTTTGAACAGCAGAGCGGTCTGCCGGCGTTACGCAGCAGCATCTCGCTAGCCCATGGCTTGACACTGGAAATAGCACGTGCCGTTCGCACAGCAGTAAAGGCATCATCAATATATAATCATAAAATATACTCAGGGGTTTAAAGCCTCTGTCTGACCCAGTGATCCAAGCCAGGCTGCAGTCTCGGGGCGTTCCCTGGGGCAGGCTTCCTTGGAGAGACTGGGAAAAAATTCAGAGCTGGTTTTCGTGGTAGGACGGCACAGGCTGTTAGCCACCCCACCGCTGTGCCATCTGTACCATTCCTTCCAGCGCCTCCTGCTGGGAGCAGACTGGCATGGCTCCCTGGAGGGTTTGGGTAGCATTGACTGAAGCGACACCTGACATAGGTGGGACTTGGAAGTTCCCCACACCCACCTCTCCTGCACCCTTCCCTCCCGGGCCGCCTGCTGGCAGGGACTGAGCCTGGACAAGCTGTGAACGGCCTTTCGGCCAGCATTCCCTACAGCGCCTCCTGCTGGAACAGCTGTAAGGAGCAATTTCTCCAGACATTTGTGTGTGTGTGTGTGTGTCCCTAAATGACAATGGCTGATTATTAGGCAGGGAGGCAGCCTGGCTTTCCAGGTGCCCCAAAAGCCAGGCCATGGATGCCTTCTCCTTCCCGAACAAGAATCCTCCAAAAGGGCCCCCACTCCCTGCAGGATCATTATTAATTATTATTATTACACCCAAGCCTTCATGCTGGTGAGAAAACCAGCCCCCAGGTCCACCTTAAACAGCTTTGCAGCCTCTGCTACTGGGGCCCTGCTTCCATTGGCTGCGAGCGCCAGCCAATCGGCCCCGCCCGTTCCCACATGGGTCTCTGATGTCAAAGGCTTCAGAGGCTAATCAGGAGCGAGAGCAGCTGGAGGATAAACAGGAGTGAGCTGGGGGTGGGGGAGGGAACAGCCCCGGGGCAGGCTGGGAGTTGTAGTCCTCTCTGCTCCCCCTCCAGCGCCTGCCTTTGCTGCAGCTGGGGCAGCTCCCAGAGTTAGTTTTTGTTGGAGGTCGGAGGTTGCACAGGCCGGGGGCTGGCGTGCTCCTGGGAGAGGGGTGTCTCAATTTTCAAGCATCCTTCCCTGCTCAATGTCATCCTGCTTAGATAGACACCCAGACACACCGACCGGGGAATCGATCGCTGCTTCCTGGCCTTTGGGCGAAGGGCGACGTACCAGCCGCTCGCTAGTCCAGGGGGGGCTATCGTAGGCGTAGTTTGACTTCTAGATTTGGGGGGAGAAGCTCCTGTCAAGCCAATGGGGCCATGTGTGGAGGAGCAAATCCCACACTTGCATTTCGGGGGAGGCATTGTCCCCCAAACTACACCCACAGGGCCTCAAGTATCAGGGGGTAGCCGTGTAAGTCTGTATCTACAAAAACAACAAGGAGTCTGGTGGCACCTTAAAGACTAACAGATTTATTTGAGCATGAGCTTTCGTGAGTAAAAACCTCACTTCTTTGGATGCATCCGAAGAAGTGAGG